GTAATAATAATTAATTTTTAATTGATAATTAGTTTCTTTTTCATTTTAATTTATATGGTTTTTAAATCTTTCAGCATTTCAATGTAATGACCAAACTAAAATAGTTTATAGTAAGCTTTATTCAGAAACTGTCATTATTACAAGATGCTACACACTTTGTTTAGCATTTTTTAGCAATTAAAATTTCAGTAATAATTGATCAAAGCATCATAAAATTACAAATACTTCTTGATTAGGTTTTCATAAATTTTATGGATTTATATCATTAAATTAATTATTATCCAAAATTTGTCTTATAAGTCCATGACCATTTTGAACTTCAGTATAGCAATCATTTACTTGGTCAAAAAATGCAAATCTATTGGATATTTGTATATCTTGATATGAATTTCCTATTGGAAATAGTAAGAAACTCATACTGTCAGTATATTTTCATTTCAACTATATTCACTATCAGTTGTTATTGCTCAATTTATATACTGTAGTTAGTATTCAGCATCAATTAGCAGTGTAGAAATTGCTAGTAATAGAAAAATTAAAATTTATTTTCATCACAGTATTCTATTATAGCTTTTCAATTTTCTAAATCAAAATAATTTCATGGTAATCCAAGTATAAAGTGCTGACATTTAAAAACAAGATTAACAAATGGACCATAAATATATAAATAAATACGTAAACTTTGCAAGTATTGCTAAACCAGTAATCATCGAAAAATAGATAGAAATTGCCTCACAATACCAAAATTATTCTGTTCGTGAATCAAATCCAATCCCACCTGAAATTACACACAATATTAATTACAATAATGGAAACTATCAGGATACACAGTACCCAATGTCGTAATTCTTTTAAAATGAGCAACCTCTTAAAGCAACCCCCAAGTTGTAGGTTTTGTAGTTTTTTTGTCTTTGCCAAGAATCAGCTGATTGTACTTAACCTAAAATTGTAATTTTCAATTAGAGATATTTAGAAAAATAAGTACATAATTATGATATTACACACGTTTTTATAACTTCAAAATTTTCCAATAAAATTCAATAATCACCCTTCTTGTGGTAATTTATATCAGGACTCGAGTAGCATTCATTATATTACCCTGCAAAAATTCAGTACCTAATGATACTTTAAATACTTAAATGTATGCAATAATACTTGATACATATGCTTCAAAGCAACAATATTTATAGTAGATGTTCCAATTGCCCTTGTGGTACTTAAATTGGGGCTCAGTAGCAGTTGAACAGGGATAACCTATAAAGTTAATAGTCGTGCTATAAATACGTTCCGTTGAAATTACTTGTCCCTTTAAATGAAGGGATGGAATTCAAGAACGATACTTAGCAACGAAATGTAATACTTTTCTTTTTCCATCAAAAATTTCAAATAAAAGCAGTCTAACCATAATTTTAAGTAAACAAATGCCAAAATGTTAACTCAAATTACCTCAATAAACAACAGTCAAACGGTTACGGAAGTAAGCTAAAATTGTAATTTAACTTTAAAATAATCAAAAATTCGAATGATATTTGGGTAGTTCCGTCACATAGTACGTTTGCATTTACATTACACGTATTTTAATTATTTATTTTTAAATATAAAATTATTCTCTCGGCTGCAAAATAGTTGTTATAGAGCCACTTCCTTAGGGGAAAGTCTAGTAACTCTTAGTGACTTTTCTGGGGGATACCTTTTGCTACTTATGTTCTCCGGCTACCAAATTCAGAAAATTTTCAAACGCTTCGAAAAGCGGGCGATTGTATGTTGGGTTGCCTGACTATTATAAACAAATTAGTATATAA